CTATGAAAGTTTCTCTGTACGAGAACGTTTCTCTTACTTACCTTATTCGTGGCTGTTGCTTCTTCCTGGAAAATTTTTGAGGCATGCTAAATGTAAAATCCACTTTACTTAGAAATCCATGATTTACGTCGAATTTTCAAGATAAAATTCTATTTATAATTTTATATCCTATGCATGATGTATTTCAATTTTTTAAAAATATATATTTTAATATACATTTTAGATACGCGATATTCCATAGATATATTTTAATTCTTCAAATATTTCTCGTATTAAATACGACATATAAAATTATAAATAGAATTGTATAATAATGTGACGCGATCTATAGATTACTTAAAGTGGACTTTAAAGTAATAAAATAGAAATAATGCAATATACACCTGCTCTCTGTGAAACGCGAGAGAGGTGAGTGACGAAGAAAACCGTGTAATGGCACTATAATATTTAATATTAGGACATTCTAATGACAGCTTAAAATTTTTCACGCGTATATCACATATTATATACGTAATCGTCAACGTTCCCCGCGGCCTTACGATATATTAGTATGCAGCTATGTTTAACGAAACGATGAGACGGTTCACCAATTTCACGCGCTTCTCCAATCGCCAATGAGAATTCATAATGATACCAATTGGAAAACGTACGAGTTGATACGTTTTCGCAGCAATGTATTGTTTATGTATATATTATACATATAATCATAAATCTCTCCTCACTATAGTTAACACTTTACAAAACTATATACACTAAAGCCATCTTTGTGTCGTCTACAACGCTAGCTAGCAACATTTTTCTTTTTTCTTTTCATCTCTCATATATATAACATATTCTTTTATATATATATATAATATTTATATATTTATATCGGCGCGTCTTCATACGCGCAGTATAATAATAATAATCGTCGCCAAAGTGCGTAACATTAGCGCATCAAGTTAAAACTCGTGCTACGCCAAATTCTAGCGCGAGGTGTACGATAATACAAAGTTCATCTATCTGTCACTTACTGCTAATTGCTATGCAACTAATTAACGTCCGCGGTCGGTTGCGGTTTAATTATTCGTGTACTCTCTCCTTCTCTCTCTTCCTTCCGTATTTTCCACACGAGTCTCCGCTTTATCATTAATCCTCTCATTCTCTATCGATACGCAATATTATGCAATTGGCGGAACACTTCTCATTTCGACGGATTATTTCGTGCATTAATAATGAAGTAAAATAAACCACGCTAAATTATTGTCTTTATTTTGATAGTACTTAAATTAAAAATAATAAATATTGTCGACGTGTTATTGCGCTAATTAAATTTAACTAAAGTACTTAGATATTGGATTCTTAGGAAAATTAAAGAGAGGTATAATTTAGGAATGGGAGGATTAATCGCGACAGCCGCCTCGAGCTTCAATCTTATGGACGATGAGCGAGCAAATCGAGAAACACCCTCTTAGTACTTTATACACTGTCGTTTCGACGAATGCGTCCTCAGGACGACACAATTACGAGGAGTTGCGTTAACTTTTCGCGTCAGAATGTAAAAGAAAAAAAATAAAAGAATCGTTCGAAGATCAAACTCCAGAACTCGCGGGAAATCATCGGGAAATAATGGTGCCTCTTACAGAACTGTAGCAAGGAAGGTAATTCTGTATCAAATTCACGGCTCTATGTACATGATTTCCTTTTTTTTTCCTTTTTTATGCAATTACGGGTGCGGTTAAAGTTTCACTACAAATGCTTCGAAGCATTGGACTGACTAATCAGAAAAGAGAATTTTACGAATTGACCGATCAAAGAATGCTTCAAAACATTAATTTCGAAACATAATAGTAATAAGCTTTACGCCTTAAGAAATTGATCATTTATATATATAGTCGATTATTCTTCTTACATTCGACTGTGATTAATCAATTTCTTACTCCTACTTCTTACATCGAGCTTCTCAGAGAGAAAAAATTTACTATGCTAATTCATATTGCCATGACGGCAAATTCTATTTGCAAACATGGGGATTTCAAAATTATTTGTAACAAATACTTATTTTTTTGTACTCGCTACAAAAATTTGCAACAAATGCAAAATATTTGTCAAATATGCAAATTTGTTTACTATAAATAGGAAACAAATTTGAAAAATCAATCTTCCAAGCCTTTTGCGCTTATAACAAAATTATTTTTCTCTATGTTATTCCATATATTGTAAAGTGTAGACTTGTAGACGATGCATTACGGAAAATGTGTGCGGTAGCTCTTAAGGCTTACTTCATTGTGTTTTAATGTATGATCTACAATGGCAGTAGAAGATGAGGGGCTATAAGAGTAAGAAATTGACCAATCAATGGATGTTTTCCTACAAGTGCTCTTCTACAATGGGTGTTTTCCATTTAGTGACTCAAGTCGACACAAATATCATTCCATCTTTCTTTACATTTTAATTAATAAAGATAGAACGACACTTGTGTTGACTTGTGTCATCAAATGGAAAGCGCCTATTAGGGTCGCAAGCCGTAAGAAATTAATCAATCACAGTCTATTATTTTTTTTATATTCAACTGTAACTGGCTAATTTTTTACGGTTTCGACTTGCGATCCTATTGTAAAACAGGCATAAGACTACTTGGCATGATACCCAACATCAAATCACCGACGAATGGGAACATTCGGTTGTTCAAACGTAACGGATGCGTTTATTCGCTGACCGATGCGACGTCGCTACCTCCTCACTGCCGACGACTCCATTCTTCTCCGTTTTAAGATCACGGCATACAAAACACTTAAGCAGTAAGACATAAGCAATAAGGAAATCAACATGTTAGATTGGCTAATTCGCTTACTGCTTACGTTTCATTGTTTTAATGATTTTTTATGTGCCATGGCCGACATGGCCTTTACTTTGCACGAACTACGCGCGAATCATGACGATCGCGACTGAACGTGGCGGATAATCATGAAAGCGGTTCCTTCCGGGGTTGCCTATCACTCGATTATGGCATTTTCGACTCTCATCCCATACATGAATAACGCAACAACAGAAAATCGTTTTGAAAGCGGTCCCTTTTGGCGCGAAGTTCGCGTCAAAAATTCGAAAAATACTATCGACTACGATTTACGTGTCCGATACCGCAAAAATGTGGAAACGATAGGAAAAAAGAGATTGAAGAGAAAAACAGAAAAAAATATCGGTATAATTATACTAATAAAAATTTTTAAGTAATATGTAAATATTATTTAGCATTTGCAAAATTAATTAATATTTTTGATTAAAATACATTACGATATTATTACATATTGCCGTATTAATACAAGTAACATTTCAAAGTTAGCAATGTTTCAGTAGAGTATTTTTAAATTTCTAAATTGGGAAGTTTTAATTACGACAATGAATACGTAATTTCTATAACTTTACTTTCTCTGCATGTTATACTTTTAATTCTAATTTTTTTCATTAAAAGACTATGTGTCATGCGTTTTTAAAATTCATAGTGTAAAGCCTGATTTACAGATCAGGCTTAAGAATTTCATCTTTTATTAAAGTTGTAACACTTTTTTACACAAGCAAATAAGCAGATAAGTTACAAATGTATTATTTTTCCATAAAAATATGTATATTAAAATTAATTTACAGCGTGTGATTTACTGTGTTATTTCTTGTTTTTTATCTTTTTTGCCTCCCATTTTGTTTCTTCCTTTTCTATTATCCGAGATAAAGGTTGACGAACTTTGGAAAAGACAAAAAATATAATTATCGTTAAAACGGTCGCAAAGAAGGAAAAGACGAAAAGTAAAAAGTGAGAAACAGGAACCAAATAGCACAGTGCAGATTAGGCTTTTAATCTTTAGGTACGATCCTTCCTTTCATTATCTCACAAATGCAATATTTTTTACTCTTGTTACCTTCCTAATACCAACACAGCGATTTATATACAGGGTGTTTCCAAATTAAATGGCAAAACTTCGGGAGCGTGTAGAGGAGTAAAAAACTAAGAAAAAAAGTCCTATAGACATATGCTCCTTTTTGCTTTGTTTCGCAGGAAATCACGAAAAAAGAAAAAAATATATTTAATTTATTATTTTAATTATTTTATTTATAAACTTTTTAATGAAGATTTTGTTCGAAATGTGCACCTCTTGCAGCAATACAAGCATTGCATCTGTCAAACACGGCTCTTGTAGCAGCCAGGCCTTTAAAGCATTACCGTTGCAGAAACCGTATACAAAAACCATATCAGCATATTCACTATTAGAATACGTACGCGGCATATTGCAAAAGACAAAATTCATCTACTGTTAAAGGCTTTCAAAGAGCGACTGACAAATTCATAACAGAAAGTGGAAAATGTAATCAAATATGTCGGTGCTAGATATGGCAAGAAATGTAAACATTTTTTTTCGATTTCTCTGAAACGGAGCAAAAACGAGCATATGTCTATAGGACTTTTTTTCTTAGTTTTTTACTCCTCTACACGCTCCCGAAGTTTTGCGATTTAATTTGGAAACACCCTGTATAATAATATCGCAAACTATTTTAATAAAAAACAAGATATTATTTTCGCATTCAAGTATGTAGTATCGCGCTCAAATCATCCGCAAAAATTATTTGTTTCCGTCTCGTCACGATAGAACGGCAGCGTTCGGCTTCGCATTATTTGCGTTAAATCACGCGACACAACTGATAAACTTTACTTTGGTATTATTCTTCTAGACATTCCAAAATATCCTCTCCGAGAGAAATTTTATTCGATATGGTATAGGTAATATTTATTTTTTATTCTTGCACTAGACCGTATCAGAACTTTCTTTGATAATTGGTTGCGTTTAGCAAACAAAACTAATAAATTTAAAGCACTTAGTAGATTTTTTAATATGTAGGTATAATTGATTCTTGTGCCTTTAGTTCTTCGCTGAATCTATAAGTATAGTAACTAATTATATTAAAAAATCACTAAGCGCTAACTGATTAGTTTTCTCTGCTGAACGCAGCCATTATCTTTCTTCCTTGTTGTCGCCAAATATCAAACATATATCTATTTCTTTAAATTCGAAAAATCAATACTAGTTCAGCTACAGAACAGACCCATAGTACGCGTTACGGGTACTGTATATTTTGATTTCGATCAAATTTTTGTCGGAAAAAACGTTTTGGAGTGTAATTCGAAAATACAGTTCGCGAAAGTTTTGTTTTGAATCCGGCCGGCTTGGAGCGCACCTTGTTTACATTGACTCGCGCGTAACTTCGCTCCGTAATGGACGCGCGCGGCGTGTCGTGGGACGAGGTGGGGAGTGGGGAGAAGTGTGTCGAGTACTCCGAGCAAACGCACCGCCCACGTCGCGTCGCACACACCGAGCGAATTCTTTCTGTTCATTACGCCGCGCGCCGCATACTTTTCGGCCGAGAGCAATTAGGTACTTAAATCTTGAACTCTCGCACGTTCTTCGCGACACGATCGATCGACGATCATCGTTATGCACGTTTCTCTCAGATTAAAAACGTGTTCTTGATTCTCGTTACACTGTCGGTCGACACGGGCAGTCGGGCAGCGCGCAACGTGACCGGTGTGAAGTTGAACGGATGAACCGGATGAACGTTGCCGTCGTTCGATCTTTCCTAACGGACTTCGAAGGTTTTAGTGACGGGCGACTCCCGTTATTTGTCTGCATTCAGAGACTTGAGAGAGCATCGCGCGTGTCGTGAAGCAGTCCAAGTGGATCGAAGTTCACGGAGTGCCGAATTGAGTTGACGGTTGATCGCCGTGGAGTGATAAATAATTAGCGGCGATCAAAATATCGTTTCCCGATATTCGCGATATGGCGTTTGATGGCGGCCGATCGTTAACGCGTTAATTGGCGAACAATCGACTGTGGATCAATTCTCGTGCGTCCCGATGAGGGAATGGAGGAGCCGACGAACGAGAAAACGGTGGTGTCGACGAAAAGGCGAAGGAGCTACCTGTGGCCGGTGAGTGACTTAACAATTACATTCGTTAATTAAACGATCGTTAGTTCACACCGTCTTCGACGAGAGGCCTAGTTGTTCTTTTTTTTAGCTGAACGGTTTATCTTTTCTCTTTTTGTCTTCAACGTGGAGAGAAAAGGAAGAAAAATGAACCGTGCAAGAACTTTAGCTAAAAAGAACAGACCTGAGGATTCGATGCCGTTACGTTACAGCGGTGCTATCCAAGATTTGTAATTGTGGGCATTGGCTTGTGGATGCATATCGACATTCATGCCTCTGCGTTGCCTTCTGTCTTCTTAAGGATGTTTTGTTTATACGATATCAGATAAAGTATCAGTCGAATAATCAGGCAAAAATAGTTAATATCAGTCAATATCATTCAAAAAATTTTGATGATACTATCCCGTGAATACTTCCTGAAACCAACTACAAAAAACAAAACAAATTATTTGGCTCATAATGGTTTTATGCAGCAAAACCATATTTGACTATATTTTGCTGCAATTTCGAAGTCAATAATCTTTAATCGAGAGTAAGTGAATTCAAATAAACTTACAAACATTAATTATTTACGAATATTAATTGTTATACGAATATTAAATAACGTATAATAAATCAACCTGACTAAGACTCCTTATAAATCAAAAAACAAGAAAAGAACAAGGGCAATAGGAGTCAAGCGCGGGAGACGTTGCGCAAATAACACGACTATCGTAGCGTAACACTTCTTTATTTTACTAAAGCGCTTACATGTTTCGGCTCATTTTTGAGCCTTCTTCAGACACAACTAATAAACTCACATACATAGAATATAACAATTATTAACTAGTCATGGTGATCTTCCTCACCTCGAGAGTATAAATACCAGAATTAAATCCAGATAAGAATGCAGTAAAAAAAGAAAAAAAAAGGAAAAGAAATTTCGAAATTCTCGAAATAAAGAAAATGTAAAACTAATGTATCCAAAAATTTTTGAAATTATAATTAATTATTCCGATGGTTAGGAAGCTCACCCTGATCACAAGATACCGCATCGCAAACATTACTCTTAATAATTCAAAAACCGGTTTCTGATAAGTTGGCCAGTCAGTGTCATACACAGTTAGTCTCTTTTTGATTTAATTGGTCTTTATTGAGACAGTAATTAGAAAACTAGCGTTAAAAAATTAACCAAAATCAAGAAAAGAAATTTTGAAAATGATCTAAAGTCAACGCCCGACAGACTTCTTCTTGTGTACGAGCGACACTGACTGACTAAGCGCGACAACAATTCGACCTTTTATAGTTTATCAATAATCGGGAGGTAGGCCTTGGGAAGCTCCTCCATATCCGTTTGCATGTTAAGTCCATGCGTCTGTTTCCTGATGAATATCATTTCCGAAGTCAATCTCTTCCGGTAGTGTGGTTCCTCGTCCAGTATTGCAACGTTGTCCCAATCGAATTCATGTCCCTCTTGCAACCGATGCTCCGTTATAACGTTGCGGGTAGACGTGTTCCAACGGATATGGTTCTTGTGTTCCGTGATTCTTGTTTTTAGTTATCTACACGTCTGTCCCACATAATTCGCATCACAGTTCTTACAAGAAATCTTGTAAATTACATTCGACCTATTATTACGCGGTAAAGGATCCTTCTGTACCCTAATGAATTCTCACAATTTGTTAATGCTATAAAACGACCTCATATGATCACTCCTTAATCTATTAAACTTCTCAGTAATACCCCGAACGAAAGGAACCGTAAACCACGAAGGCTGCACTACATCCACGCTATTCTCCCTAACCACATTTTTCCTATTACT